CCGGGACCCTCCACTCCCTGGCTAGCAAGGGCCAATCTCAGGAGGAGGGGCATGTGCCCCCCCACCCCCCCACATGTCGCCTATGTATGAAGATCAGAAAGATCACCTTGATGTGTTTGTCTTCCTGATAAGAGCCACTGATAACCAGGGATCCATGTTTTCTGTATGCCATGGAAAAACATGGTAAAAACACAGATTTTCTCATTTGAAGAAAAACACAGGAAACGGTGGGCCAGCCTAGAAGGGGCTGGGGGCAGTGGGAGGAGGGCGCCCAAGCAGTGGCGCTATGTGTACGTACACATGCACATGGCCAACAGGCAGCCTGGAGAGCAGCCCCTGCAGGTAAGTCTGATTGCGCAGGGGGTGGGGGCATGGAATTGTGGCCCCCATAATAAGGGAGGGAGGGAGTTGGGCAAGGCTGGGGCTGGTGCCCAGCCTGGGTGGTGCATGGGGCCTGGGGTAATGTGCAACCTAGAGCCCAGCTGGGATGTGGGATGGTGCTGCAGGCAGCTCATCTAGAGGGGCAGAGGTGGGGGTCTGGCTCTCCTCCACTGTGCAAACTCCTGGGAGGGAGGCAGGGGCATATGCCCCTGCAGATTTGCGCGCAGGGCAGGGGTGGGCTGCAGGCTCCCTGCCCTAGTGCCCTTTCCCCGAGGCCTATGCAGGGCAGAGTGGAGGGCGGTGGCTCACTGCTGCTGCTGGGAACTCTGTGCTGCCATGGCGAGGCATCCTCTGCCCACCTGGCAGCAGCAGGGGTGGCGGCACAGAGTTGTGCCCCTCACTGCTGCTGGGCAGGTAGGGGGCGCCTTGGAATGGCACAGAGCTCTCAGCAGCAATAGTGAGCTTCCAAGCCTGGCCCTGCTCCACCAGGTCCCACTTGCTGGGTCGTGGAAGACCCGGGGGGAGGGTAGCAAGGCAGGGAGCCCAAGTCCATAATGGACAGCCGCAAACAACACTGCCCCCCCATGCGGACAGGCTCCATCTGTGCCCTGTGCGGGGGAGGGGGTGCCAGGCTCTGTGCTTTGTTCTTTCACAGCAGCTGCTGCCTCCTGTGGGTGGTAACCAGGGCTCAGACACTGCTGCAGGAGGCAGGGGGCTGCAGACCCTGGGCGGGGAGTGAGGGGCACCAGCAGCGCCCAGGGGGTTGTGGGTGGGAAGTGAGGAGCATCAGCAGGGCTGGGGGGCTGTGACTTGTGAGGAGGGCCTGGACCTGCACCCTGGTGAGCTAAAGGGGCGGGGGGGGGCCCCTCTGATTTTCCATGATAAAAAACCCAAACTCAAATGCCAAAATGTATAGGTACTTAGAATTTATTTTATTATAGTGACTGAGGCACTGGTAGGCTGCCAAATTGTTTAAAATTTGCAAATATATCAATAAAACATTGTGTTCAACTGATGCATACACACATATACATATATATATATACACACACATATAGTGGTGTTTCATTTTAATTGCACATTTTGGGGTTTTAAATCAGAGAATGTGTGTTTTTAAACAAAGAAAACCAGGGTCCGTACTGATAACATACGTCACAAATTGTTTTTACACTACTGAAAATGGAAGGGAACAGAGACTCCTAAGGACAGTTTTGGACCATGGAAACAGAAGTACAAGAGAAGCAGTTGCATTACATGCAGCTAAAGTAATTTTAATATTGTTTTTGTATTTGAGATAAGTTTTTGTTCCAGTAGAAGATACAGAACCTCAATGGACTTTTTATACCAGTTCATTTTATTTTAGACATTACAATTATAAAACCAGTTTATTTTACATTACAGTAACAGGAAACTGCAGAGACCAAGTTAACTGACAAAAATCTACGCAATGACAACCACAAGGCAAAAAACATAGCTGGTGCCACTACTTATGGCAATGCCACTTACATTATACCAGGTCAAATTCTTGTTGCAGGTCTTGATTTTTGTGTTACTTATTTGAGAGAGAATTCCATGTCCAGCTAACCAGCATCAATCCTCTTCAAAGTTATTATTTTGTATTTGCAGAGGTACAGTAAGGGTAGAATGGACCCTAAGCATTCTTTGACATCTAGATTCTTCCCTGACATTTCTCTTGACATTATTCCAAGGCCTGTCAATTTAGCCTTCTATGTTTTTTAAACGAATAATTACACCTGCATTCAAAATCAAAACTAAACTGTTTAGGGATGAGGAAAAGTGGGCAAGTCTCAATGATAGGAGTATTTCCAAGGGGGGAAAAATACCCAGGTGACATGAGCAGACGGTGCCTCAATACCAGAAACACACCACTAATTTCAGGAGAGTCCCAAAATTATTGTTTCAGCTACAGGCAGATTGTGGCTTCTGGAGAACAAAGATCTTCTCAGTTGTTGAAGATCTAAACAACAAGACTAGATGCACATGTAGGGCATTATTATGAAACTAACTGAAAAAGTAAGCCCCAAAAGAGCCAGGCTGCACTGTGTCAGCCAAGAATGGGTCTTGCTGCAAATGAGTACAAGCTTCAGGTCTTTTGTAGGATTATTTCAAAGAAAGCTTTCAGTACAGAACAGAATGGCAAAAACCGTTTTAATATGTATCACCAGGAGAGTCTGTGTATTGTAGATATTGGAGTCTGTTTGTCCTAAGTTACCCACAGCCTGTTTCTGCATGATCTCTTATTTAAAAGTGTCCCCCCTTTTTCTAGTAAAAAAATGGTTTACCAAAACACAAAGTTCCATTTCCTGATTTTGTTTAGGTCAGCTGGAAGCTTCTTTTTTCAGTTTCTCTAAAACCTCATCTGGCGTCATTGATACCAAGATCTTCACCACTTTTTCACGTGATTTAGCACCCTGTTTCAAACACAAAAATAGATAATTCAGAGAATCATTTCTTACTTCAAAAATACACATTTTTAAAACTCTTTGTACCCCCAATATTGGCATTATTTCAGTGGTACTATCGTAACTAGAACTAACAGTAGCAAAAGAAAGCTGTTCATCAGTAACCCTAGGATGTTGTCTGCACAGAGTAAGAGTTTTGTAGCACATAAATTGCCACTAGAGCTCCTGAAACTTAGGGGGGAAAAAACAACTGCTGGGACTTTGATGGCACCAAATATTCTAAATAGTGGCTGGAGGGCCACAAATGTTTAGCAGCTACAAATCCCCAGAGTCCTCTAGGCAAGATGGACTGATATCAGAAACAAGGCATGAAAGTTACTGATGAATACATTTTCTTCATTGTAGCACCTGTTTATTCTGATTTCTAAGCTTCAAGCAAGAAGCATAACTCCCAAAGTAGCAGGCTGACACACACAATTAAGCAAGGATTGCAGAACTACTCTTCCAAAGCAACTTAAGCCTACATGATAAATTGAGAGAGTACTATTACATGAACGTGTGAATTTAATTACAAGCTACAAATCCCAGTCCTACTCCTGTCTCAGGATTTTCTACAGAGTTACAGGCAGGCCATAGTCTTAATAGGAGTCTTAAAAATCCACTTACCCACAGAAATAGGTGTTTTTTCTGGGTGAATGATTCTGAATAGGGCCAGTCAGCCACTATCGTCATTAGCTATTTTTTTTACTTTTTTAAAATTTATTTTTCTAGGCGGGAGGGAGTGGTGTGTGAAGCTGCTACATTTTTTAACATAGCATAGAGGCTGCAAACGAAGCATGCCTCAACAGGTTCCTTTCCAAGGACTGGAAAGGGAAATAAGGAAGAAGAAATTCCCAAAGTTCAGCAATACAGGTTTCCCTCGCCAACCACGGTTTTGCCAACCATAGTTTTGAGTATTCATGCTTAATATTCTATATACCATTTTGGCTACCATGGTATACAGCTTTGAGTAACCGTGGTTTTCTGTGGCCATGCATCAGCTTGCCACCTGTCATTTTTCCCATAAGCCTTTTGTCCTGCCAACCACAGTTTTGCCAACCACGGGAACTTTCAGGAACCTAACCCTAGCAGTTGGCAAGAGAAACCTGTATATCTCTATAGAGGGCTCACACAGAGACCAACTGAATTTATATTTTGGTACTACACATTATTTGCTACCCAGTTGTCTTTCCTGTTTGGTGCAGGGGGCTGGACCCAATGATCTTCTGAGGTCCCTTCCAGCATTACAATCTATGAATCTATACTTGACTGATATTTTTATCCTATGGAGACAATGCATGCATATAATTTGTTACTTTTCAGCTGAGTTTTCTGGTTGATCAGTGTCAAAAACAGGGAAAAGGAACCACATATTATAAAATGGGGAAAATAAGCTGGATGTCCGTAAGCAATTGTCATGTGAAATTACGTCAATGAAATTCCAACCATTATTAGTAAAACCACTATATATAAAGAAGGCAGGTTTCAAAGCAGCTGGGGCAAATACAGAATGCTGTAAAACTAAAAAGTAATCACGTGAAACAAACACATTGCCAAGACAGTTTTAGTATGAAGATTCCTTCTAAATTTTTACACTGCTTGTCCATTTGAGTTATACTCTTGTTGCTATACTCCCATATTCATATTTTTGACTGGATCAACTACAACTGTGGGAGCCAACTCCTCCGGCAGGTGTGCCACCAATTGGTCCACACCCTGCCCAAAAGACACTCTGATCCTATTTCTTTGTTTGATCTGCTGCTCTGCTGTCTGTTCCTTCCCTGATCTGTAGTTAGCCACATACAGAGGCTGCCTATCCCACTTCTGGCACTCGTGCCACAGGTTGGCCACCCCTGAACTACAACTTGGAGCTTCATGTGAGAATTTATAACACAACAGTGACAAGGGCAAGGAAGACAGAATTCTAAGCAGCAACAGCCAAACAGTAACAGGTTCTTATATCCAGAGGATGTAGGTCTGGTTGGAAGTCATAAGTTAAACAAAACTGCTCAGCAGTCAGGCACAATTCAGAACGATTGTCACCAGGATAAGATATCTGGGCCCCTAAATGTCAGATTTAGAGGTGCACTGATACATTGGTCTGGTATCAGATTGGCACAGATCTAAAGAAAATTTACTGTATTGGAAATCGGCCCTATCAGGCTGATAATTTGGCCAATAAATGGCCTGTGCGTGCATGCAGCCACAGTGCAGCACAGGCAGCAAGGAGCACAGCATGGAGAGCTGCCTCCAGCTGATAAGTCTGGTGTGGTGGAAGGGGAGGGAAAGGGCTGGGGGGTAGATCAAGGACCCCATGATGAGGAAGGGTGTGGGGCTGGGACAAGCACTGTCCAGCCGGGACGGAGTGGGCGCAGCACAGAGCTGTGGCTCATTTGGGGGCTGCAAGGGGGGAGGGGCAGCTCTCGCCACTGCGTGCCACTCATCTGGAAGCCACTAGTTCAATGCCTCGTCCGGCACTCACCTGCTTGTGCAGCAGCTCCCATGGCTTCCGCCACTTATCTGGAAGGAAGGGGGGGCGGGGCATGTGTCCCTGGATCTGCGTGGGGCCAGGGCTGCACCAAGCTCTTCCTGGCAAGGCAGGGCAGGGCTGCGCTGGGAAGGGGCTACGGTGAATGTGTGGCTGCAGCCCATCCCGCTGGAAAGAACTTGGCGCAGCCCCAGCCCGCCCCACACAGAACTGGGGGCACATGCCCTGCCCCCCCGCCCTCTCGGACAAGCAGTGGGAGCACTAGTGGGAGCCGCCACATGAGCAGACGAGTACGGCAGATGAACCGCTGAACCAGTGGCTCCCGGACAAGTGGCGCACAGTGGTGGGAGCTGCTCCGCCCCCCATCCCACCCAGACGAGTCACAGCACCGTGCTGTGCCCACCTCACCCTGGCTGGGCAGCGCTTGCCCCAGCCCCTGGCCCAGCCCCACACCCTTCCTCACCAGAGGGGCCTTGATCTGCACCCCCAATCCCTTCCCTCCCTTTCCACCACATCAGACTTACCAGCTGGAGGCAGCTCTCCATGCTGCTGGTCTGGGTATCAGAAATCAGATCAGTACTGGCCAATATGCCTCCTTAAAAATTGGCTATTGGTATTGGCTGCAAAAATCTCCATTGGTGCACCCCTAGTTAGATTAGAATTAGCAGAAATGACTGGACAAGGGTGAACAATGCTGATCAATATACCTGGCTCTACTTAGCACTTATGCTAGGATAAGCAAATTAAACCTAAGCATCCTAATGAAGTAGGTAATCAAGTATTATCCCCATTTTATAGACTGGATAAAATGAGAGATTAAGTGGCTTGTTCAACCAGCAGCAAAGCTAAAATAAATCTTAAATTTTCTGTTGGTCAATCTTTCACATTCAATGCACTGAGCATTTTACCTAATGGCAGGTGCTGTTGTTTTCTAAACTGGCATAAATACATGATCAACATAGAAAAATAAGACACACATCCCCAAAATCTCCCTATTTTCATGGGCATCATAAACAAATGTGTTTAGTAAATGGATCCTACTTCAACCCACTTTTACATTTAATAAAGGGACAAATATGCCACCATCAAACAAGATATAAACTGTTCTAGTCTCCAAAAATTTCCGTTTACTGTTGCTGTCATCTTGTATAAAAGGACAACTTTTGGGGTAGTAGAACTGTGACTTTTCATGTCCTTTTATGACATGAAAGGAGTTATTTCTACCCTTGGGGCATCTACAAAGGAAAAAACACCTTCCATAATGCAGTCTACTGGATAAAAAGCATTAAGATTTAAGACTTATTTTAACAGGATAATTAACTTTAATCTTCATTCTCATATTTATCTAAACAAGCAAGTCAAACTGTCAGTGTCCAGATATAAGACCTGCAAGAAAACAGATGTATTGGAGAAGACTGACTTTAATCACGAGTTGCAATTAAATTTTTTTCCTAATGTTTAATTAGGCAATGTACAGTAAAATGTTTATCTGGCATTTAAGTAACCAGAAATTTTATTAACTGAATTACTGACCGGCCAGTTGGCCAGCCGGACACAAGGGGTAGAAAAGCTTGCACCCTGCACTGCCACTGCTACCCCTTCCTTCCCCCGCCCCTGCTCCATGTGCAGCTTCCACACCCTCCCCATCCCCATGTTATCTGAAAACCCCTGTAGGGTTTCATAGATTCATAGACTGTAATGCTGGAAGGGACCTCGGAAGATCAATGGGTCCAGCCCCCTGCCCAAAGGGCAGGAAGTCAGCTGGGGTCAGCAGGAATGACAACTAGGGCCAAGTGACCCCAGCAAGGTGACTGTCCAGTCTCCTCTTGAAGATTTCCAGAGTAGATGATTGTACCACATCTGAAGGAAGTTTATTCCACAGTCAGGACACCCTGACTGTGAAGAAATTTTTCCTAATGTTGAGTCTGAAACAGTCTGTGGCCATCACTCCTGGTTTTCCCCTCTGGTACCCTGGTGAACAGCTGTTCACCAAGCCCTTGATATGCTCCCCTAATGTAGCAGTAAACTGCTACCAGGTCCCCTTCTCAGCCTTCTCTTTTTCAGGCTGAAGAGTCCCAGGTCCTTCAGCCTTTCCTCGTATGGCTGGCTTGCTGTTCAAGTCTTTGATCATACGGGTGGGCCCTTCTCTGGACTCTCAAGCTTAACCACGTCCTTGTTAAAGTGCAGCGCCCAGAATAAAAATGCGGATTATTTCAGATAACCGGAATTTTTACATAACTGGCAATCCCCTTACCCTGGGGATGCCAGATAACAAAGATTTTACTGTAATAATAAATGCAGGTATTACTACTGTTTCCACAGAAACACTGATGCCAAACAGAACCCGACCTACTATATTCGCTAATGTGACATGAATAACTGTGGCAGTTATTTATATCCAAATATGGAAATACTTTCTAAAATAAAAACAAAAATACCACCAAAATAGGTCTGTTCAAAATGTTCCCATTTTCCAAGTTGGATTTAATATGAAAAGACATCTTTTAAAGTCACAGAACACATTAAATACAAATTTAGAAAATATAGCAGCATTGGAAATAATCCCAATTTAGGTCAGTGCAAGCAACTATGGGTAATTCTGTACTATTTCTAATGGTGCTGCTCTGAATTAGTATTTCAAAGACTTGCCATGGATTCTCTTTCCACAACTGATTTAAATGTTGTAAAATAACTCCATACTGGTGAACCGAAGGCAAGAGACTTGTATGTAAACAGTGTTTTCTCCATTTAATATGAGTAAGTTTTAACATTCTGAATTCAAATTGTAGCAGAACAAAACTAAGAGGAAAAATAAAGGATTGTACCTTATCTAAAACAACTGCACTCTTCTTCACCTCTAGAACCTTGGAGAGGTAGCGACACAGCTCTGCATTTGCCTCCCCTTCTGATGGAGGAGCAGCAATAGCTACACCTACTGCCTCAGATGTCACATCTATAATAAAAAGTGTTAGTGTTTTATCAAGGTACTCAACAAGGTCTACTTTAAAAATGTACAGTTCCTATTTTTAGAAACTATTTTTTTTGTTTAGGACCAAATAAAAACCTCTCAATAGTGTATTAGATAATAGATCACATAACATTTGACTGCGTCAAGACTATCCACTTCAGTTGCATCGTTGGCTTTTCTCATTTACCAGCAAGACTAGTTAGCTCCTCAAATGCATGTGCCTTCTGGGAAGAGTGGGCCCTTAACATCAGGACCCAACACTTCTTTTCCTTTCCATCCTTCTTCATTATAAAAGTCAATCGATCCTATGACAATTTGAGAAGACAATCTGAATGGCAATGTGGTTGTTTTTTTATACAGCTCATTCTGATGATCATAACCTGTATTGTGACAATGCGCTAGTATCCATTACCAATAGTCAAATCCACACTACATTATCAGATACCCGCTGGACCACCATCCTGTAAAGCAGTTTCTCAACCTGTGGTACGTGTACCCCTGGAGGTACGCGAGACACAGGCAGGGGGACACGAGTACCCCAACACACTCTCACCCTCTCTTCCTCTTTCTCTCTCTCTCACCTTCTTTTCCTCTCAAAACCATGGCAAAAGATTCGGTGCACCACACATTGCGTGGCACTTTAAATTCCCCAGTAATGATCTGGCGTGCTGTTTTGCACGGCACTGGGTTCAGCCCTCCTAGCTTTGGCCTACATCACCTCTAGCCCAGGTACATACTTGACTTGTGCACCCCTGGTGTAAAAGGTGGCAACCCTACCTGCACCAGATCAGACATCTGTCCTATCATAGCCTCATGTACATATGGCACACATTAGTCTGTAAATAAAAATCCCCTGGAAAACTGAGTGTTGGGGTACTTGATAAAATCTGCAGAAGTTAGTTCCTACTTGCTACTTAAAAGGTTGAGAAACACTGCGGTAAAGGACTTTTTGCACTTAAGCCTACGAGCAGGGCGGCCCTTGTAGGCAGGCTGTCCAAACCTGCACTCACTGCTTGTCTCAGAGAACTGGAATTGAACTGGCAGATGTTATTATTATTCATTATTAGGAATAATAATGAATAATATACATACATATGTACATAGACATAAATACTGTGATATAATGCTCTCGCATCATTTTAACCCCACTTCTCATTAAAGCCCGGCCCCCAGCCAACACAAGACGAGCTGCGAGGGAAAAGTGTGTTCAGCCGCTTTCCAAAGGAAGCGGTTGAGCCCCTGCCCACCCCGCACCTCAGCGGACCTCGCCCCCGGAGCGCAGAGCAGGAGGACGCCAGCCCCCCGGCTGCTTCTCACTCAGCGAAGCCCTGGCTCCCCGCGGGGGCGGAAGCAGCGAAAGGCGCCGCCTGCAGACGGGTCGCTTCCTGCCTCTCAGCCGGGCCGGGCGCGGACCCACCTGTGACAGCG